TATATATATATATATATATATATATATATATATATATATATATATATATATATATATATATATATGGCATTTTGAAATTTGGAAAATTGATTATTTGAACTTGGTTCTCATCAAGTTTCCCCGCATAAAGGAATAATATGTTATTTTAAAGACAAAATACAGCTCTCCATACTAAAGAGAAATATTAAGGAAACATGTTGGCTTCATTTTTGTCAAAAATCTGGACTTTTGCAAATAGTTTAGTGCAGCTGTTTTTATGTTTTTAGAACCAGCACCCATAGCTTCTCCGCTCTAACCCAGACTTTCCTCATAATTAATTTACCACCTTTCTACATTGATTATTTCCTAATTTTAATCGTTTGATCTTATTATTCTTAGCGAGCTCCATATTAAAGTGAGAGCTGCATCACAGCGTATGATTATTACCGCCGATAATAAACAAGCCGCGTTTTTACATCAAACGAGCTGTTTAATTTTCCACTCAGTAAAATTAAATTGCTTATATGAAAAAAAAATCGCTCTCCGCAGTGAGTTTAAATCCTCTTTCTGCCTCCTCTCCCTAATAACAAACAGATCCGAAAATGTTTAGCCGAAAATTATTTGTTTTTTAATTAGTGCCTAATGGCTCTTCTTTTCAGATTTAATTTGTTTGAGCATGAGTAACTCACGGCTTCATAATTAACTTTGCAGGAATGATGAAATAATTCAGTTTTCTCTTGATATTCAATTAAAATCTCAAAGGAGCACTCTGGTCTAGTTTTGTTTTAACGCACAATAAAGTTGAAGACTGATTGAATTTATTAAATATATATTAGTTTCACAAAGTGAACTTCTTGTTCATGTTGACGTTGTTAAATTATGTAAAAAGGAATGACTATTTCTACATCTTTAATTCACTTATTATAGGCTACTTTCCCTTTATTGTTGTTTGCTGCTGAGAGTCTGGACGTTTCCAGTCGTTTCTCAGTGCAAAGAACTTGAACGAGGGGAGAGGCAAGTTTATTACCAAGGACAAAAGACGGGGAAGCGCTTTCCTCAAAGGCCGTGGAAATCAGCCAGACAGGAGCTCCTCACTTCGGCTCCTGGCACCGTAAACATGGGGATCAAGGAGCTATAAACTAAAACACTAAAACGCTCCCTAATTTTGCAATTGAGGCGTTTATGAGGAGTAGCCACAGCTTTAGGTTTACCGAGTTAAGCATTAAGTAGCTCAAAAAGGCAAATACAAACAGCCGCGTTTGATGCGTTTGATATAAGGAAAGATAAAACAACAATTACACGTTTTAACAGCCGCATGGCGCTGAATTAATGTCCGTTTGGTTTCGCTGGTTGTAGTCTGAGAAAGAAGCACATCCATTGTTTGACACTTGGAGCATTGAAGAAATAAAACTAAAACATTACTTGTCTTTTTCTTCGGCAGCAAGTTTAAATGTTATCCTAATGTTTGAATTAATTGAACCAGACACTCCTTTCAGTAGTTTCTGTAATAATAGTAATACGATATTATTTACCAAATGAAAAACTGAGAGTTTTATTATAAACAGTCACTATTTCAATAAAATAAGCCCGTTCTCTCTCACATACACACAACCATACATATATATATATATATATATATATATATATATATATATATATATATATATATATGTTTAACTGAGATTGGGGAAGTATAAGAAGGGCAGACTAACCTGTTGTAATTAAAGTTTTCAAACTTTCTTAAATTTGTTCAATATCCTTTTTTTCTTACTAATTCCAATATAATTTTGTTCAAAGCATTGCTCTTGAAATGTTATTGAAATTAAGAACTGTTTTTTGATTTTGCGTAAAGGAATACTAATATATTTTAAATCTATTCCACTATTTTGGAATCAAAGCCTTTTTAGGTTTAAACCTTTCAGCTTCAGAACTACTTTGACTTTAACATGAGCTATTTTCGCTAAGATAACTGAAGCAGGATTGGGAACTTATATTCTTCCAATTCTGAAAACCTTCTAAACAGCGGTTTTTGGTCTTGCCTATATTTAATCCCACAACACTGACCATGTATATGTCCGCCTTACTGCTCTGGGCTGAGTACCAAACGCAATAGGTGGAAATAGAGCTGGCAACATGTTTTTGGCCCTCTCCTTAGTTTTGATTTGTTGAAAAAAAAACAAAAGAAAATAGAACAAAAAAAAAAAAAAAACACGACGCAAACTTTCCCTACACCATACAAGACTGCGCAAATTTTTCCTTCTTTGAAAAAACGGACATATCTAATTTATTCCAATCTAATCCAGTCCGTTCTAACATTTCAATATAATTTGTAAAATATGTTCTTAAACTGCTATGTTTGTATAGCAGTTGATATCTCAAAATAATTATTTTACAATATATCAAATACTTTCCAAAATATAAACTCTGAAACAGCTGAAAACACAGCGAACAAGCAGTGGAAACATCCTATCGGTATTTGGCACCTTTACAATACAATACAGAGGTCCAATCGGGTGTCTGAATCCAAATGCACTGTTAGCCCTCTAAAGCAGAAGACATGGGAGAATATTACATATAGGGAAATTGTGTGGGAATGTTGTGGTTTCTATTATGTGTTTTAATCAAAAGCATGTGCGTAAATCATTAATTTTGCCTATAATTTGCAGTTGAGGTGGAAATATGCGTTCTAAATAAGCATTTATAGGAAAGTGACCATATTTTGTATCTGTTTCGGTTATTTTTAGGTAAACCAGTGGTCCTTTTTTTAATTAATCTGTAAATGTTTGTTACAAAAAAGATGATGCAGGTGGAATATTTTGAAAATGAATTAGGTTTTTCAAAGAGAGCATTAGAAGAAGAAGGGAGGGTGCTGGCCAAACCAAATCCCACGGAGCTTTTCGTGCTGATGTGTTTCATAACTGCGCTTTTCTCCACATTTTTTAAGGCCTTTATATGAATAAAACCTGGAGTGAACAGCTTGTAAAATGGAGACCACAAAGAAAGCAGCTCCAGGAGCAGCTCTGCACCTTACAGGATCTGAATATTTTATGTGCGGCGCACATATTATGCTTATGTTGCGCTTTATATGAAAGAGGAATTGATCTTTGCGCTCCCATTGTGGCTCTCGGTCACCTTGGACATGTTTTAGATGATGTAATCAAACTCAGATTCTTAGAAGCTGGAGTAAATATTAGAGTTTCATAAGATATTGTAATGTAGCGAATGACGCATGAAAACAGATCATTGATCTAGTTCATATCAACATATTACCCGATGGATTAGTTTTGAAGGATTGGGGGGCAAGGGTGGGGCGGACAACATATTTTGCATATCACGTGACGCTGCATTAACAAATCAACAATTACCTTCCCTTTATTCTTCAGGAGTTGCTAAAAGAGCTGACAAGAAAGCGGTTTGTGCAAAGCTTCATGGAAATGTGTGAACGGAATCCCTTAAATCCAGGCTATGTTGGTTCCCTGCTGAATTTCGCGACCCCAGAATCGCTTTACTTCTCCAATCTCCGCGGCAATGGGGCCCACATACCGGCGCTGCATCAGCTCTCTGCGTACGGCAGGAGAGAGGTGTGCGCGCACCCATGGTCTCCATCAAGTTCGTGTGCCGCGGCTCCTCCGACTCAGAGCCGCTCCTTTGGAGGCTTCTGCCCGCCGTTTACCAGCTCCACCGGCGGCCTCACCAAGGCGCATCCGGAGGAGCGTGACGAGACTCAGTGCTTTCAAAAGACTGATGAGGCTGGTAGACTAGAGGAAGCTGTATACGCGTCGGAACACCGGATCCGTGGGTTCTCAGAGTTGCAAACAAGGTCAAACTGCTCTGAGGCTCAGCTTAATCCGGAATCATCAGCTCCTGTGAGCGACACCAAACAGGAGCATAAACCCACTGAGGCAACATCAAATGATCCATGCTGCAGGACCACATTTGGCCAAGGTGAAGGACTCATTTGCAGATTTTCGAGGATTAAGAAAATGTTTATTTTTTTTTTAACCTATTTCACTCTTTAAAAATATTTTTATTTTTCATAATGACAAAAACTTTTTAGACTGGATTCAACATTAAATGGGTAAACACAATCCTGAATGGCCTGAAAATCTTAGTTACCAAAGATCAAAGATTCCAAGGATTCGTTTCAGATTTCTTGTCACACAAGGTAAAAGCAGGGAAACAAAATTGATCAAAAACATTACATATAACAACAAAAGAAATTCCATAGGTGATAGACAAAGTAGCCTACTCAAAATATCAAATAATATTCCGGAAATATGTACCAGTAAAAACGCAGGAACATAAATCTCGTACACACAAAAAATATATATTAAAAAACTACTGAAAATGAATATATAAACTTATAAAAACGACATATTCATGGCCGGTGCAGTTATCTAAATCCTTGTAACATTGTGCATTTAAAGTACAAACTGGAATGTGCATTACTATAAGGCAAACGGGTTCTTTATAATACCACAATAACATCAATCATGTATAATACCTGTTTAGACATCTTCCTATGTAAACATTTCCACCTTTAGCTTTCTACTTTAAGTTTAAGGTGGATTCACTTTCACACGAAATACTTTTTTTTAAATCTGTTTTTCTGTTCAATCTAAAGATTATAACAGTAAACATACCTCATGCATTTTATAGATCGGCTTCCAGGGTTGCTGATACATCAGACGAATAGTTTAAAAATGATAACTTTTGTAAGTGTTTGAATTTTTTCTTTTAATCCTGATTGTTTGAAGCCATTTTTTCTGTTTTGCACCTGTCCATTAATTACTTGCTTCTAGCAGTTAAAAGAAGTCAATCCTCTCTTACAATATAATCAAACCCACCAAATTCCGTCCTATCATACCGAAATATTTAGATCAAATTGCAAGCAGTCCAAATATTTAGTTGTGCAAAATGTTCCAGTTGGGTAACATTACAATCTATTTTTAACTTTTATTTAATTCTTAATCAAGTCGGTGTAAAGCTTGTCGCTTTCTTTCCCTTCCCTGTCCAGGTGCTCCATGGTGCCCCTCACACATTAAAGCGCGTAAGAAGAGGAAGCCTTACACCAAACCCCAACTCACTGAACTTGAGAATGAATTTCTGCTCAACGAGTTCATCAATCGCCAGAGGCGAAAGGAACTGTCAGACAGACTTTCCCTGAGTGACCAGCAGGTGAAAATCTGGTTCCAGAACCGCAGGATGAAGAAGAAGCGCCTGATGATGCGGGAACACGCTTTCTACTGATGTGATCTTTGGACTTGATCCTGAACCGACTGGACACTGATTCCAGACATGTTTTGTCGTCCCTCCCTCCTCTGTTCAATGTGTGTCTGATATTAAATTGTACATGTCAGTTTTATCATTTGTGTCTGTTGGAAGCTTTGCTGAGCGGAATGCACGAGCACAGATTGAACGATTGTCAAGCTGCAGACAGGATGGCTACTCGCTCCTGACTGTAGTTTGTCTGAAGAAACAAAAGCACCTTGGTTCAGTTTAGGAAAGCAAGAAAAAAGGATTTAGGTTGAACCACAAATTTTCATTGAAAAAAAAAAAGTAATTCCCATCCACACTTTTACGCAGACCGTATTCCTTATAACAATATTATTAAGCTGCAATGCTGTTATTTCTAGTATTAGAATCCTGAGGTCTAGTAGACTCAAAGTAAATTATAATACTGATCTTTGAATCAAATTTCCTAATATAACGTTTGTTGTTTTCTTGTCTGTAAAATTATTTTAAGTTTTGATATAACGGAATGTTATTCATTGGGAAATATGTAGGATATTAGATACCATATGTGCTTGCATGCCCCTTTTATCGCAATTTTACTAAGATGAAATTAAGATGTGCTAACTTAATTCTAAATCGATTTTATTATCTTGTATTTCTATTTCATAATATTTATTTCCGCCCATTTGCTTGGGAATATATTCCAGCGAACTATAGATGTGGAAGGTTTCAAAGCGTCTCCGACTAAACATTATCTTGATTTATGTTATGTCTTTGCCGTGCACTCAACTCCAAATAAAATGTTTCCCACACTGAAGTCACTTGTGATTCTAAAATTTGGCTGAAAAGTTGTATTTGAGTGTTTATATTTAGCACTGCAAAGTATGCAACTGCAGGTAACATGAGCAGTTGCCTACATGGGTAGTGGGAGAACTGGTGCTGGTAAACCGGAAGTAGCAGACGACCATTTCTAAACATATATATACTTCCAAAGTGTTACACACACACACCCGCATATATATATA